AAAATCCTTACTCTCAACTACCACGACCACAACAGATTTGCTGCTCTAGTGGCAGAAGCTAGCGCATTGGCTGTTTGTCCCATCAGAACCAACATTTGGTTCTCTGTTGAACTGAACATGGAGGTCTCTCCGAATTCTGCTGGAGAGTATATTGCAAAGGAACTATTACGACGTTGGCAGGGTGGGAAGTAAAGTTCTAAATTGAGAATTATTTGAAACATTTTCAAGCTAAGGCCGCTTTTTTTCCCCTTCTGGTAGTTTTGAGATAAGATAACCGGGAGTTGAAGGAGGAAAGTTTCCACATTCTTGTTATGGCATGGGCTTCCTGTTTACACCTTTGGAGGGAAAATGGTATACATGGGTTCCTGAAGTTCTATTTTCAGCATGTTTGTTGCTTATTCAACAATCACTGGGTTAGGCCCTGGGGCAATAGAAATGACTGGCATGGGGCCTATAGGAGCTGGAGTCCAGGGAAGATGTGAACCTGTAAAGGTCATTAAATCGCAGTATGAGAGTCACTGTGAGGGAAATTTGGAGGTCAGGAGGCATTTTTCTATGAAAAAAAAATACATCAAAGTTAAGTTCTCAGACCGTTAACCCAAAGCCAATTTTTACCTTTGATATTACTAATAATAATACCTAAGCTTTATTCAGACTTGATAAGTCCCAGGAATAATTCTAAACCTTTATCTAATCCTTTCAATGGTTCTATGAGGTACTATTTTTTTTGGTTTTTTGAGACGGAGTCTGGCTCTGTCGCCCAGGCTGGAGTGCAGTGGCGCGATCTCGACTCACTGCAAGCTCTGCCTCCCGGGTTCACGCCATTCTCCTGCCTCAGCCTCCCGTGGAGCTGGGTCTACAGGCGCCCGCCACCGCGCTCGGCTAATTTTTTTGTATTTTTAGTAGAGATGGGGTTTCACCGTGTTAGCCAGGATGGTCTCGATCTCCTGACCTCGTGATCCGCCCATCTCGTCCTCCCAAAGTGCTGGGATTACAGGCGTGAGCCACCACGCCCAGCCGAGGTACTATTATTATCCCCATTTTGATAGACAAACAGGCATGAAGAAATTGAATAATTTGTTTGGGTAGTCCTACTACAAAGCTGCCATTCAGCATTTCGAAAGAAGGGAGTCGTTGAGCACAGCTTGCCTATTTTGTCTATATAGGCTTCTACATTAGATACCCTTTTTACATCTGTTTTTAATAGTTAATTGGCCTTGAACTTGTCTCAGAGGCATGACAAATTTTTTAAAAAAATTTAAAAATAGTTAATTGGTGCACATAAAGTTTAATGATATCAGTTTCTTATCTGTTTCCTCCTTTTTATTCTAACTTCCTTGAGAGCAGGAACTTTGTCTCGTTTGCAGTAGAAGTCCCAGCATGCAGCATGGAGGCCTGTCCAAAATACTTGTTGAATGAATTCATAGATTCAGGTATTCTGAAATTCAGAATGAAGAATTCTTTGAGGACATACTGACTTTTTGTAACATATTTGTCAGTGCTTTGCAAAATTAGGTATTTAATAAATGTTTGGAGAATGAATAAATCAAATTTATTTTTGAATGGGGACAGGGCTGACTGATTCAAAAAGATTGTCTTTCTTTCTTTTTCTTTCTTTCTTTCCCTCCCTCCCTCCCTCCCTCCCTCCCTCCCTTCCTTCCTTCCTTCCTTCCTTCCTTCCTTCCTCTCTCTCTCTCTTTTTTTTTTTTTGTGACAGGGTCTCACTCTGTCACCCAGGCTGGAGTGCAGTGGCACAATCATGGCTCACCGTAGCCTCCACTTCCCTGGACTTAAGCAATCCTCCCACCTCAGCCTTCTGGGTCACTGGGAATTGTAGGCACATGCCACCACGCACGGCTGTTTTTATTCCTGTATTTTGTGGAGACACGGTTTCACCGTGTTGTCCAGGCTGGTCTGGAACTCCTGGGTTCAAGTGATCCACCTGTCTTGGCCTCACAAAGAGCTGGGATTACAGGTGTGGGCCACTGTGCTCGGCCAGATTGTGTCATTTCTTGTTGAAATAAATAGATTTTGAATTTTCTGTTCATTTCGTTCCTTTTAAATTCTATGACTCTGGGCTGGGCACGGTGGCTCACGCCTGTTATCCCAGCAGTTTGGGAGGCCAAGGCAGGCAGACCACTTGAGGTCAGGTGTTTGAGACCAATCTGACCAATGTGGTGAAACCCTATTATTACTAAAAATACAAAAATTAGCCAGTCATGGTGGTGCATACCTGTCATCCCAGCTACTCAGGAGGCTGAGGCAGGAGAATCGCTTGAAACCAAGAGGCGGACGTTGCAGTGAGCCAAGATTGCGCCATTGCACTGCCGCCTGGGCGACAGAGCAAGACTCCATCTCAAAAAAATAAAACAAAATAAATAAATAAACAAACAAATAAATTCTATGACTCTGAATTTTCCCAAGTTTATGTTTTTAGTGTTTTGCCAATTTAGTGATTGTCTTTTAATACATAGAAAATGCTGCTGACCACACAAAAAGAATAAAAGGATTTAAGATGGCTCCGGCCTTGATCTGGGAAGTTTTCCTTGTTTATAGATAAGATTTAAATAAACAGGAGCCCATCAAATTAATCTCTGTTTTTCTCCTTTCTATTTTACTTTAAAAAGTCTGGACTTCGATTATTTACAGTTCTATTAGGTGATGAACACTTATGTTTAGGATTGGTGCATATTGGACAAGATCCACTGAACTTTTTTTGAGGATAGTGTGATAATGAGGTACCACAGCTGGATTTGTAGCATATTTTCTGGCCCAGTGCATTTCCCTCCACAGTAGAATGGGAGTAGATGTAAGAGTGTGGGGACTGCACTGACATGGAGTTTGAAAAAGCTCCCTTTTAGAAAACCTTCCTTTCATCTCTGTTCTAATATCTATGTGTGTATAAAGTAATATGGAAACATATATATATATATATTTTTTTTTTTTTCTTTTTTTTTTTGAGACAGAGTCTCGCTCCGCCACCCAGGCCGGAGTACAGTGGTGCGATCTTGGCTCACTGCAATCTCCGCCTCCCAGGTTCAAGCGATTCTCATGCCTCAGCCTCCCGAGTAGCTGGGATTACAGTTGCCCACCACCATGCCCGCTAATTTTTTGTATTTCTAGTAGAGACGGGGTTTCACCATATTGTCAAACTCCTGACTTCAAGTGATCCACCCGCCTCGGCCTCCCAAAAATGTTGGGATTACAGGCGTGAGCCACCATGCCCAGCTAGGACACATATTCTTATACCATTTAGAGCCAAAATATTTTTATATTAGGGCGAGGCCAGGCTCATAAGTAGTTGGGCTATATAGTCGATCCAGTGTCCTCTGCCACTGGACTTGTAATATAGCTTATGAAGGAACTTGGCTGTGACATGGATTCTATAGAATGGGAGAGAGTTTATTAGGAGGAAGAGTAGGTATCAATGTCTCACTTGGATTTAGGGACAGTTATAGGCTGTGCAACCTGAAACAACACAACCGGTGGCAAACTCTGCTTGCAGAATATGTATGGAATCTTGCTGAAGTCAGAGACACTCTTTCCAGTTTCCTGTGAAATCTTAGCCAAAGTGGGACTTGATAGGTAAAGATTTTGAAGTTTTGGGAGCTTTGTGTTTATTCCATAGGATTATGGTACAAGATGTAAAAGTGACTTTTGGCAGATTTAAGAGGATAAATCAGTTATATCTTTACTTCCTTGCTAGTGGTTTGTTCATGTAGGGCTTTGGTTACTCAAAGTGGGATTGTGGGCATATTCACTTTGTGTGTCGTTTAATGTTCATATTTGGCTTATTTATGCCTATGTTATCTGTAATAGAAACTGGTAAATGCTTAGCCTGTGTGGGGTTGGTCTTGGCATTTTAATTAGCATTCATGATACTTGAGTATTTCTTACCTGCCCGAAGTACTATGGTTACGTTGTTTTGTCACATAATTGAGTATAAAATAATGACACTTTCTTTTTAGTCCCAGAAATCCTGGATTAAAGGAGTGTTTGACAAGAGAGAATGTAGCACAGTCATACCCAGCTCAAAAAATCCTCACAGGTAAAATTTTCAATTACATTCTTCTTTTAAAAGCAACACTACCTGGAGGACTGTTTATAGAAACTTAGAAATATGACTTGTTTAGAAGATTTGATTATATCTATAAAATTAGAATTTTAGAAATATGACTTGTTTAGAAGATTTGATTATATCTATAAAGTTAGAATTTTCAGTGTTTATTTCTTTCACTTTATAAAAATAGTACATGATTATTGTAGAAAATCTGGGAAGAACAGGGACCTTGTTAATTTGTACCTTACTCTTACTCCAGTGTCTGTGACAGTGCCTGCCACATAGTAGGCTCTTGATAAACATCTGTGTTTTTCTTTTTTTCTTTTTTTTGAGATGAAGTCTCGTTCTTGTCCCCCAGGCTGGAGTGCAATGGCTCAATCTCAGCTCCCTGCAACCTCCACCTCCCAGGTTCAAGCAATTCTCCTGCCTCAGCCTCCCGAGTAGCGGGGATTACAAGTGCCTGCCACCATGCCTGGCTAATTTTTGTATTTTTAGTAGATGGGGTTTCACCATGTTAGCCAGGATGGTCTTGATCTCCTGACCTTGTGATCCACCCACCTCGGCCTCCCAAAGTGCTGGGATTACAGGCATGAGCCACTGCGCCTGGTGATAAATATCCGTTTAAGGAATTTAATGAAGTATAAAGAAGTTTTTCTCAATGCTGTCACTGTTAATATTGTCGTGGATTTTATTCTACTTGATGCTTCTGTTCCTCTTGATGGGGGGGATAGACGTTACAGAAATATCTAGTGTTACATCCGTTTCACTGGGTTGGAATCAATAATTTACATTTTCTGAATACTGAATATTCTAAATATTGTGAGTGTTTCTTATCCCCAACTAAAGTATCTGTGGAAAATAGTGACTGGTATATTTCATTACACTGTGCCCAGATTAGACGAACAGGTAATTTCAGTTCCATTTTCCTTCCATAGACTTTATTTTTATGGAATGCTTTATGAATTTGCATGTCATCCTTGAGCAGGGGCCATGCTAATCTTCTCTGTATCATTCCAATTTTAGTATGTGTGCTGCCGAAGCGAGCGCCCGTAGGCTTTTGGATTGAGCAGATAATCGGCAGCAGATGGAATAATTTGAGTTTGACTACTGAGTTCTTGACAACGCTTTGGAAGCTCTACTTGTAGAACGAAGGTCAAAAAAGCAACTAGTGAAAGATAGGGGAAGAAAGGGCTATGGAAAATTCCTCTGGGTAATCAGGTCTGTGAAATTAAGATTGACATTGCCCTTGGAAAAATAAATTAAAAGGAAAATAGAAGAGTAATATTTTAAGTAAGGGAACCACTCTATTTTTAGATATTTTTGAGCATTTGTCCTTTTATTCCTTTAAGGTTTAGAACTCATAACTATGTGCTTATCAAGGGTAGCATGGTAAGGTTTTTGAAATTCTAGTTCTTTGGAGATGACTGAAATAGTTTTCCTTGCCTTTGTTAAATATTTACTAGTCCCACCCTTACTGAATTACCTATGATTTGTAAGTCTTGTGATTGGAAATTCTCATTTTACCTGCTTAAAAAAAGTTTATAGTATGCCAAGATAACCTTGTTTTTCCCCTTCATCTTTTATGACATCGTGTGGTGGTGACTGGAATGCAAATTGATTCAGGTGGTTCATTTTGTGTCTGTGAACAAAAAAATCATTTTCACAATAATCTTGAATCTCAAAAAAAGTGATGAAATTACTCTTTTACTAGCCCATAGACTGAAGAAGAATATCAATGATTGTTAATTCCACGAATGTTCTAAGGCTTAGTATACTTTAGCAAGTGAAAAAATAGTCTCTATATTATGGGTTTGTAGATAAAAGTTAGTGGATGATTATGGCTATTTCTTCTATGCCAGCCTTTTTCTTAGATTCTAGTAAAATTCTCAGAATTGTAGCTTTTATGCGGTTTTCTTCATTACGGTGCACAGGAAGAGGGTGATAATTCATTTTTAAAAATATTGATAAAAGTTTCTTTCTTTTATTATTTTTGTTGCTCCCAATAAGAAACAAATGTGATACACTTGATTATAACATCTTTTTCCTTCTCATATTCAATTTACTGTTGAAAGAAAGCTTCTGAGAAAAGGCATTCCAGAAAGGCTGGGACAGGAAGAAATAAAAGTCCTGAATATTAGTTTCTGAATAACTTAGAGTGACGCTTATTTTATGAACATTACCTTTTCTTCCATTTTTTTTTATTTTTTTATTTTGAGACGGAGTCTCACTCAGTCGCACTCAGGCTGGAGTGCAGTGGCGCGATCTCGGCTCACTGCAAGCTCCACCTCCCGGGTTCATGCCATTCTCCTGCCTCAGCCTCCTGAGTAGCTGGGACTACAGGTGCCTGCCACTGCGCCCGGCTAATTTTTTGTATTTTTAGTAGAGATGGGGTTTCACCGTGGTCTCGATCTCCTGACCTTGTGATCCGCCCGCCTCGGCCTCCCAAAGTGCTGGAATTACAGGTGTGAGCCACCGCGCCTGGCCTCTTCCATTATTTTAACTAGAATTCCCTGTTAATACTTCTTCACACACACACACACACACATTTTGAGACAAGATCTTGCTGTGTCCCCCACGTTGCAGTGCAGTGGCATGACCTTGGCTTACTGAAGCCTCAACCTCCAGGACTCAAGCAATCCTCCCACCTTAGCCTCCCCAGTAGCTGGGATCACAGGCACACATCAGCACACAGGGCTAATTTTTTGAAGTTTTTATGAGTCAAGGTCTTATTATGTTGTCCAGGCTGGTCTTGGACTCCTGAACTCAAGCAATCCTCCCACCTCAGCCTCCCAAAGTGCTGGGATTACAGGCATAAGCCACTGTGCCTGGCCCAAAAATATAATTGATGACCACAGTGCTAACCCCTAAATCCATAAGGTTCTTCTGAATCATAAAAAAGAAAGATAAAGGATTATTTATAATTATACCAAATGTCCCTTATTTGATAGTGCTTTATGGTTTTAAAATGGTTTACATATATATACACATAGTCTTGATTCTCAAGAAATCTGTGTTATCTTCATAGTTTAATAATAATAATAGCTACCATTATTGTACACACTGTCTACCAGGTACCATAAGACACATTACATATTATTATCTGAGATTTAAATTGAGGTATTTTGGTTCTAAACTGAATGTTGTATTAATTAGATCATAGTTGCTGCAGTAATTATATGTGGTAAATGCCATAATGGAATATTTGGAACATGATATATGAATTTCAGCAAACCTTGTTTTATAGATCATAGAAAAGAATAGATATTTACTGTACAAGCATTAAATGTGTTTTCAAATACACCAACAAACTAACAGAGGTTTTATTTCTTTAATTTAGGTGTACTCCTGCATGCCAGTTCTGCCAGAATTTAATCAGGTAAGACTTAGATAAGCAAGATTACTTTTAGCTTTTAGGCATCCTATTTAAAATTCACTGGGACAGTTTCCTCATATCTTGAATGGACTCAGTAAATGGTGCATACGATTTACCTTTCCAAGGGAAGTTTTAAAAAGATGTTTTTGATGGAGAGTGAGTATTCAAACGTAATAGACTACTTGAATTACTGAGACATGTAAATTGGCTAAGGCCCTTCGACAAGAATTTCTACTGATGGAAACACTTGTAAAGCATTACATTTTAGTTTTATGATCACATTTGGATAATGAAGATGCTGCATGTGCATACGGGACTATAATTGATGTATGACTTGCAGGTGCTGTGTATGCATACTAAGCTTATGGACAAAAACAGCTCTTTAGTGCAATATAAATTTTAACAGTGATTTGCATTTTAAACTACGTGACTATTTTTACCTTTCTCTTTTGTAAGTGGAAGGAAATGAAATTTTCTTAATTTTGATCATAGCCTGAAGTTTATATAATGGATTGAACCAAAGTTAAATTTATTCTTGGAAAAAAACATCTGGGGCTAGACACGGTCACTCACACCTATAATCCCAGGATTTTGGGAGGCCAAGGCGGGTGGACTGCTTGAGCTCTGATTTGAGACCAGTTTGGACAACATGGTAAAACCCTGTCTCGACATACAAAAGCAAAAACAAAACCCAAAAAATTGTAGCGGGGTGTGTTGGTGTGTGCCTGTAGACCCAGCTACTTGGAAGGCTGAGGTGAGAGGATTGCTTGAACTTGGGAGGTCAAGGCTGCAGTGAGCTGTGATTACGCCACTGCACCAGCCTGGGTGGCCCAGTGAGACCCTGTCTCAAAAAAAATAAAATAAAATAATAAAATAAAAAATTGGAACCATCAGTTTAGCAAATCATGGGGAGAGGAAACCAGCATCCACAGATATGGAACAAGAAGGAGAAGGAGAAGGTTGCTGGAAGAAGAATTTCTACTTGGCTGACCTCTCACTTTTTCTTCAATTTTTTTTTTCCTTTTAGTAATTATTTCAAATTTTGCTATTAGATTGGTGCAAACGTAATTGTGGTGTTTGCTATTGAAAGTAATGGTGAACGCCGGACGTGGTGGCTCATGCCTGTAATCCCAGCACTTTGGGAGACCCAGGCGGGTCGATCACGAGGTCAGAAGATCGAGACCATCCTGGCTAACACGGTGAAACCCCATCTCTACTGAAAATACAAAAAATTAGCTGGGCGTGGTGGCGAGCGCCTGTAGTCCTAGCTAGTCAGGAGGCTGAGACAGGAGAATGGCGTGAACCCGGAAGGCGGAGCTTGCAGTGAGCCGAGATTGTGCCACTGCACTCCAGAGGGAGACTCTGTCTCAAAAAAAAAAAAAAAAAAAGGGGGGGAGATGCCGTCTCAAAAAAAAAAAGAAAAAGAAAGAAAGTGATGGTGAAAACCACAATTACTGTTGCATGAACCTAATAAAATGCAAAGCAAAATAAGGATATAATAAAAAGAAAAGACCTCATTTATTCTCCCCAGCTCCTACTGTATTCTTCAGAAACTCTCCTTGTCAATGTCCTCCAAAACCTCCACCCCACAACCTTCAGAGATAACTAAATGTGAAAATACTGGAAAAGCATCCACTTTTATACCTCTCAGAAATTAAAAATGGTTACAAACTAGTCATTTTTGCACCTAGCTGAGACGAGTTTTATTTTTTTTGATAGGAAGAGCCAAATGTCCTAATACGAGTTACTGAGCAGTCTCCCCTAGTCTCATTCATTTCTGGTGCTGTCTGTGTTATATACCACATTTCTGTCTGTCTATGGCTTTGTTTCTGAGCTTTCTTTTCAGTACTTTTGATCTACTTTTATACTTGTCAAATGCCGCTCTGTTTCATTATTATAGTCTTGTAATATATGTCTTGATATCTGATAGGGCAAGTTTCCTATCCTTTATTTATCTTTTAAAAAATTGTTTTTACTTTTCAAAAGACTTTTATGCATTTATACAAATTTTATTTTATTGAAAGAAAATTTTAACCAAGTGTGGTGGGCACATGCCTGTAGTCCTAGCTACTCACGAGATTGAGGATGGGGGATAGCTTGAGCCAAGGAGTTCACATTCAGCCTGGGCAACACAGCAAGACCCTGTCTCAAAAAGAAAAAGAAAACATTTTATTTAAAATAGTATGTTTTAAAAAGCAGTTCCACTACATTGGAATACTATCTTTAAAAAAAAAAAAATTCTAATTTTTAAAGGCAAGGTCTCGCTGTGTTTCCCAGGCTGAAGTGCAGTGGTGCAGTCATAGCTCATTGCAACCTCAAACTCTTGGGCTCAAGTGATCCCCACTCCTCAGCCTCCTGAGTAGCTACCTAACTGCTGGCATGTACCACTGTGCCTGGCTGATGTTTTTTGTTTTTTATAGAGATGGGTTCTTGCTATGTTGTCCAGGCTATTCTAGAACTCCTGGCCTTGAGCGATCTCCTGCCTCAGCCTCCCAAAGTGCTGGGAGCCACTGCACCTGGACTATATTGTAACACTTTAAAATAATCCTAAATCTCCTTGTCAATAAGTGATTGTATAATATATATATATATTTTGTTTGTTTGTTTGTTTGTTTGTTTGGTTTTGGTTGTTTTTTTTTTTGAGACAGAGTCTAGCTCTGTCGCCCAAGCTGGA